CACACACACACAATGTTTCTGCTTTATATATATAGAGATGGTAGAGAGCATAGGGAGCGGACATCACAGACAGTAACCAAACATAAGTGAATTCGCCATAGCAAAAGACCGATGATAGCTCAATTTTGATGTTTCCACTCAAATCATGAAAATCTTCAAAGCGTCAAGGGACAACTCTTAAGTATATCGATGTACACTTTTCACTAGCTTGATGATATATGTAATCGAAAAGGTTTGGGTAACTGACCTTGTAGATTCCTATCAAACGATCTCCAAGCTCGAACATGTTGTTTCGCAACGAGATGATTATGAACTGAGCGTTCTTGGTACGATCCTAAACAAGTGATTTAGGCCGGCAACAACAGCAACATCTTTTTCATACCTTTATATAGTGAGCAATGATTGACACATTCCTAAAATCTAGAGCAGCATCGATCTCATCCATGACATATAGAGGTGTTGGCCTGCATAAATCATGATTTCGAAAAGGAACACAAAAACGAAAATGTTGAAAAATTTTTACCAAAAAGTATTTTGATAAATCACGAACCTGTAGTGATGAAGAGCGAACACAAGAGACAGTGATGCGAGGGTTTTCTCGCCACCGGAAAGATTCTCAATTTGCTTCCAAGACTTCTTCGGAGGACGCACCCTGTAAAAGAAGTGATTTTAGAGCGAATCCATTTGTGAACACGCTCAAAAGTCTTTAAAAATCTTTTAACATTGGCGCATGGATAGTGAAGCGTGATGGATGAACTTTCAAGTTACCAAGATGAAAACGCACATGAACTGAATTCCTTGCGTGAAAGGGTCCATAGAATCTTTGAGATCAAGCGACGCATCTCCTCCTAGTGTTAACATCTGGTACATCTCCTTCAAGCCAAGTCCGATTTTCTCGAAACCATCCTAAAAGTTCCCGTGTTCAAAAAGAACAACGACAGATTCAGATTGACACAGTCGAAAACCCACCATGAATTCAACCAATCTGTCTCTGCGCATATTATCAAGAACAACCATATGCTCTTCCATGGTTTCTCTGGCCGCATCTAACGCACTTCGCTCAGTCTCAAGCTTTGCCAGCTGGAATAAAAACAATGTCGGAAAG